GGGAGACTAGGGGACTCTGGGAGACCAGGGACATAGACAATAGGGACACTGAGAGACACCAGGGACACTGAGAGACATGGGGACACTGGCTGGGAGACATGTGGACACTGAGAGACTAGGGGCCACTGTGTCCCTAGTGTCTCAGTGTCCCCATGTCTCTTAGTGTCCTAATGTATTAGTGTCCCCAAGTCTCCCACCGTCCCCATGTCTCAATGTTTCCCCTAGTACTTCAGTGTCCTCAGGTCTCCAAGTGCCCCCTAGTGTCTTAGTGTCACCAAGTGTTCCTATGTCTCTCACAGTTTGATGATTTAGATGTTTTTATGAATTCATGCATTTTATTGTTACTGTAAAGCCCTCAGCAATTGCTGGGGTGAACAGTTACTGGAATGTGCATCTGCGACTTCTGCTATACAGTTTAGTTGAAGTACTAAATCGCGAAAGATAAAAAAGTTTGGTGTAAAGTGGTATATAATTCGATTATCATTACCCATATCTATAGAGCGAAATCTAAAAAAGAACTATGGTTTCATGCAGAAAAGGAGATGATTTAAATTGAGAATTGGAATAATTCGATTTTGAACTGGCAGAAAATGTGTAGATCTGTATAACTCAAGATGTTTACTCATGTGTATATCTGTATAACTCAAGATGTTTAATCGTAGGTCAAATTATTGAAGCATGAGAAATGAAAATAAGAATTGGCTTCCTGAGACATATACATTTAAAATATGTTGAGGATAACATAGATGATAATTGTTTAAAAAATTGGAAACAATGTGGTTTAAGAACTATTAACCATCTAAAAGAAGGAAACCATGGAAAAACATTTCGACGTCTCGAAAATGAAGTTTCCTTACCAAAGTAAGAAATCTACAACTATATAAGGTTAAAAATCTTTATCAACAAATACCTTATTTAAAGTAAAGATAACCATATTCTATTGTTGGCAAAATTCATTATATATGAAAGAATGGATAACCCATTATCGAGGGCAATAAAAATGATCCACTCTATTCCATCTATAACTAACTGATCCATACTAGCTAACTGGGAAATCGAATTAAATTGCCACATAGATAAGGAAGAATGGTGTCAGGCCTTTTCTTTTCTTTCTAAAATTATACATTGTACATAATAACACTTTCTGGAGATGCCAGATATCTGAAGGTTCATACCTACATATTTGTTGGTCCTGTATTAAGATTATCCAGATTTGGAGATCGATGTTCAAATGTCTGATGTATATGGGAATGAGCCCACTTTCCTGTTCACCCGAGATAGCCTTACTACATATAAATTGGCCTGCTATGAGAAACCTAGATAAGTATCTTGGAGTACATTATTTTATAGCTATCAAAATATTGATCACTCATGATTGGAAAATCCCAACTGTTCCAACATGGGATCAATTTAAACAGCAAATTGTTTTTCAACTAACTCTCAAAAAATATCACATGTACTCTACATAGTAGTTGCTATTAAGAAATTAAATCAGCTGATAATGTGTATACTGGACACACTTTCGAGACTCAGATCTCATGGCCTTGCTAGAAAGCCTTGAATTGAGAATCTTGAGCGCAATTAAATAGGGAAATATTCAGACTCTGTTGCAGTGATTTTTGTGTTTATTTGCTTTGTGTACTATATATATGTAAAGTGTTATTTTAACTATTATTCTGAGACGAGACTAATACTTAATTCTTGTGTAAAGCAACCCAGAAACCCATGTCTGTCTCTTGTTTTTCTTTTGGAAGATTATGTTTCTGTTTTGTCTTTTATTATTTATCTAATAAAGAATTAATGAATCAAAAAAGAAGAAAAATATATGTTGGCTCACCTAAGTTTCTTAGAACATGATCGGTGTAAATATGACATATAAATAGAGAGAAAATGATTAGGTATAAGAGTTGAAGCAATGATTAATACCTACATTTCTCGAAAAAAAAGGTTAGTAGGAGCACTGAAAGGTTAACCTTGACTCTAGAGGAAAAGGAAAAAACATTCTTCTTGCACCCTTAAGGGTAAAAAGGTGAGTGTACCCTTTAAAGGATTTGAACTTTCTCACATGATTGGGGAAACCCCAAACTGTTTGCGACAAAATCTCGTAAAATCACAGAGCCTAGCCAGCCCTCAGCAAATTTTTGTATTAGAAGAATGATTTAAATGACAATTTATTTAATCTGACCCAGTTAGCCCTGCTCATGCAAGCTCTTTACTGGGTCCTTCAGCCACAGAGAGGCTGAACTGTGTCTGGGAGACGCATGGCACACATTGGAAAGTGGCCAAAAATATATTTTTTAGGAAATTATTACTGTATGCCGGATGAAGGCAGGAAAAAAAAGACTATAGTATGGAAGCAAGAGGGACCTTTTATGCATACTGTTTTGCTTTTTTATTGGTTAATTCCTGTCCCTATTTGACTGGAGGCAGAGCTACCCGTAAGTGATGCTGCCATGATCAGCCAGGAAAATATATTTACATAGCTGTGGGAAAAGTGGGTATTTTCCAATGACCAAAGGAACAAAAATGAATGTTTGTCAGCTGTAATGCTTATTGCTTTTTTGTATATTTCTTAACTTGCACTGGTTGGGGTGATCAAAGTATCTCCCCATTACACATGGTATTGTTTTTTTAAAATGCTTTATTTTTGTAGTGCTTAGAATTACAAACTTGCTGATATCGCCACAACAGCAGATACGAGCCGATGAAATAACACAAGATAATCAATAACATGGCGAGCATTAACAGCACAATTTTTTAAGAGGTCATGCTAGGTAGAACTGTCTATAACATTAGTTTCTTCCAGGCTGATAACTATGAGGAGTGTAATAGACAATTTGGATAGTTTCAGGAACATTTCAAGATTAAGCATGGTTTAAACCTACGAGGTTAGTGATTCCTCTAAGGCTGAGTAGATGTAAGAGCGTCGCTGTGGTAGCAATGCCAGTTGCCCTGTGACATATGTGTAATGAGTGAGATCATCAGGGGAGTTAAATGGCAGAATATCAAGAGGTACGGTGAAGCGTTGGTATGATGCATGCTTGTGAGTCGCGTGTGTATATAAGGAGGAATATACATGGGGGTTGCCAGGCAGGCGGGCTTGGCTTCGTTAAGTGAGGAGGTGACAGGCTGTCCGAGAACGTGATTGACACATGGTATTATTTTAACTTGTAGATTTGTAGCCTCGGGTTTATTCAATATACAGGTACAGTGAATTTTTGGAAATTCAACAGGGACCGAAAATGTAAGACAAACTTGCTGATCTGGAAATATTACTTATTTGAAGAATTTTTTCCAGTTCTACTTTGTGTTAAAAGTCACAGTTTATGGGATCTATTCACTAAACTCAGAATTCTAGTGAATTAACAATTTGTTTTTCAATTGACTACAATTCTGCATTTTGTGACTAAGCCCACTGGTGAACAACTCTGCCTGTGAGTGCAGATCTGACATTTCTAGCAAATTATTAAAGCTTTAAATTACCCTCCCTTGTGTATTTTTGCTTGTTTGTGCTCTATTTTTATGTGTATGGGTGTGATTTTTTTATATTTTTGCATATGTAAACATACATACTTAAAGAGGCACTCTAGGTTTAAGCAGTGGGCACTATATATATTTCATAACTTTGAAGTGGTTATAGTGATTATAGTTTACTGGTGCTCTCCCGCCTGTCATTTTTTAAACTATGCGCCTTAAGCCTGGCCCCTGCTGGAGGTATGTCTGAAGCAGAGAATACATTCCACATTAACCACACTAATTCATAACAGCAATGAGCAGCTGTAATAGGCTGAGAATGGTCAACGGATACTTTGCACCCAAGGAACATTATTCATTGTTAAACCACTTGAAAATGAGATGAAGGGATTATCGTGCCTGTAGAGTCCCTTTAATACGATTTTTCTTCTCATTCTACATGTGCTCTATTCATTCTACACACACCCTTTTGATGATTTATTTATTTATTTTCTCGTCCTCGTTCTGTATATTTACAGTACCCTTGACACTGGCAGTGTTTTGTTTATGTGTGTGTTATTTGTATTATTTGCCGATATCTTGTTACCTGCCCTGTAATTCTAACTCTGGCCTTGTAATTCTAGCACGGCTCAGGTACATGTCTCAGTTTTGTCAGAAACACTTTGGTAGTCCAATTTAACAAAAACCTTTGGTAGTCCAATTTAAAAAAGAAAAAGGTATTACAACATCCCGCGATAAATCCATTATTTGGCATCTGTACCACTGAGTAAACATGGCAACTTCAAACTACAATGGTCAGTGGGCTGGGTGCGTAATAATATTGTTTTTAGCGCACATTCATATTTAAAGGGATCCTTTTAACAGTTTAGCAAAGGGCTTTGTTATACGCTGCCTGCTGCAAACCTATCCTGTTTGTGGGAAATCCCAGATTTAGCTTTAGCCATTTGAGGTGTCCTCTTTCGGCAGTGGATAAACACAGACCCCCTCGTTCCCGTACGGCTATATATAATATCTGTTATAGACAGCAGTAACGACATGGCAAATGATAAGAGCTTTATTCATCCCTCGGGAATCCTCCCTAATGTCAGCAGCCTGTATGACTCACTCGCCCGCCTGAGATATAATATAATAAAATGGCCGCAGGTTGTTGCCGTAGTAATGAAATAAAAAGACATTAGGAGGAGCCTGTGGGGAATTCAATATCTAGGTAAAAATAGCTGATCTGGATAAATTTTCCCACAGAGCTATGGTGACAGCTTGACTAGTTTTGCCTAGCATTCGCTTTTCAATTCACTGCAATTCGCTGTTTAGTGAATAACCCCCTCACACTGCGAGCTACAGAGCTCTCAACACTCCGACCACGCCCACTTAAAAAAAAAACCAAAAAACCGTTGACGTGACTCCACCCCCTCCGCCGCAGTACTAGTTATTCCACATTGAGGGGGAGGAACCAATGTGACGGGGGCGGGGTTTAAATCAGCCACCAATCGCTTTGCCAGACGTCATGCCTAAAGAGTGATGGAGGGCTCTGTCAGCCGCTTAGCCCCGCCCACTCAGCCAAGCGCGATCGCTCCATATAAACCCAGTGCTGTGTGGGCATCGATTGCAGAAGCTGAAGCTCTAAGCGCAGCCGGTTCCTGGCAGCCAATCGTGTGCGAGTGACGTCACTGCCCGCCGCCACCGCCCCGCGTATAAAAGGCCATGGTCATCGCTTTCCTCCTCGCTTTACACAGTATGGCCGGCGATATTAGCTAGCGCTCGCTCTACCGCTTTCTCTGTAACAGGGGAATAAAACGGGATAACAAGAGACTGTACCGGAGAACGTCACTGCCCATCAATATAACACACAGGAACACCCTAACAATCTAACCGACTCCAAGCTCATCATCCCAAGCCATCCAACACCACCCGCCCCGGGCCACGGACACTGCTTAAAGAATATTCCGGAGCTAGTCAAGAAGCTCACGCTTGTTTATTAGTTTCTTTGTAATATTATAAAAGGCTCAGGAGTCATAGTAACAGTAAGAGTAAGCTGAGCGGCCGAGGGCACTCCGCCTCACCAGATCACTAGAGGCTATTCTCCGTTTCTGTAAATCTCGTTTCTGCGCTGTCGGTGGGTGTCGCCGCCCCCGGGGCCCGGATCATGGAGGAGAGCTCCGCGCACTTCTTTGAGGGGACGGAGAAGCTGCTGGAGGTTTGGTTCAGCCAGCAGGATGAGAGCAAAGGGTCCGGAGATCTCCGGGACATCCCAAGGTGAGAACCTGTGAGCTGGAGACATGTGGGGGGTGGGTGTCAGGGCCACTCTCCTCGTAATGAGTACTGGCTAGGGAGAGGGCTGACAGGGCCACCATATGGGAATTCAGTATGCTCACCATGTGGAGGAGGGGGAGGCATGGTTACCATGTTGGTATGGCCTCCATGTGCTGTTACAGCCTGGAAAGCAGCACTGTCATGGTCACCATGTTTGCTCTTAAAGTACATTTCTTTACAATGAATGAATGGAGACAGCTGCACCCAGATCTCTAGATACAAACCATTGGGTGGCTGAGTCGAGATTAGTTTTTAGGGCGAGTCTCAATGTCACTAGGTAGCGATAATAGTGTTTGCAGTGCTGATTGCTTAGTTGGATCATTTAGTACCAGATCTGTCCTAGATATCATGTGTTAGGAATCTCTGTATCCTAGAATGTTATAACTTGGTTAACTTGTCTGTGTTCTGGAACGTTCAATCGTCTGACATTGAAAAAGGTCTCTGAATTACCAGTGTATGTGTCTAATCCGATATGTAGCTAGCGGTGTGTCAAGCATTTCTCAGGCAGGGAGTAGGAAGGGCAGACATGCTGCAGTACCCAGGGTTGTCCATGTGCTGATTCTGTGGGGGGGAGGGGAAGGGTTGCAGCTGCCAGGTCTTGAAACCCCTGCTGGCGGGGAGCATGAGGAAGCTTGCAGACAGGATCTTCCATTTTGTTTCTGCTGTTCTCAGTATTTCCAATGTGCTTCAGACTGACTTGGAGAATCTCTATGCGAGTAAAACCTGTCCCATTCTGATCACGTTAACTAGATTAATCACAATGAGCATCCTTAGGTGCCTTCCATATTCAGTTACCTATGATGCATTCTAATTCCCTCCCTAACCATTCTGTGTTAGATCATGTAAAACCTATAGATCTAGCGTTACCTCCCTGTCATTCCAATATCCTAATGATCTCCTGGTGGAATACATTGTCTAATAACTAATATTGCTCTATGTGAATTGTAATATCATTATAGCATTATGGGTGATACAGCTGCACAGGATCCTCTTTTATTGAGGTTCAACACGTGCCATTTTCAGGCACCAATTCTTGCAAATCCTATAAATCTGAGGAGGGGAGGGTGGGGCTGCAGTAGCCTTGCCAGAGCCATTTCAGGGTCACTGCCTGTGCCGATTTGCACACGTTGCCAAATGGCTCTCCTGTGATTGCCCATATAAGGGGAGTCTCCTAGGTAGCCTGAGCCTTTTGTAACTGGCTTCTACAAGCCCTCTGATGTGATGGGGGTTTGACTTGCACTCAATATGGTTTCTTCAAATTTACTGTCATTTTTGCTAGTTTTTAAAAGGAGTAGTAAGAGTTGATTAAAGTTTAAGGTGTTGCATTAAAACCCAATGCTATGAGCTGATGCTGATGGAGGATTCCCTCCCACCTGTGTCGCAGTGCTGCTGGCAGTTCGGGAGAGAGTCTCTGCTGTAATGGGTTATTGATTTCACGCCCTATAGCGTTAAAATCCTTTTTGCTGCATATAACACTTGTGGATTTGCAGCTAGAAATGTCTGCAAACCAGATTTTTAAAAAACTGCTCACCATAGTAATCATTCAAAGATGGTGTCAACGAGAATTGTGGATAAAATCATGGTTGGGTACATGTTTTATATTTTATAGGGTATTAAATCAATACAGGCTTATTCACAGGACTTAGAATTACAAATGACTTGATAGTTGAGAGAATTTTTCTTATTTCTCCACAATTTCTTGTTTGTGAATCTTCAGAAAACCACCCAATTTGCATAATTCTTATGGATGCTAACATTAGTGAATTGCTTCTTTTAATACTTGTGTTGATGGGCAGTTCTCCCTGTGATAGAATAATCTGTGAAAACTATATATAATCATTGGACATCTTTGACCTTCCAAGATTATTTCCGTTAAATGTTTTTTTTTTTGGCAATTGAAGTCTAGCAAGGTGTTGGATGGTCTCATAAAATATATTTTTTGCTGTACAATTACATGATTTCTATTTTATTTTTTCCTTTGTCATGCGCTGTTTTTAGGAAGGAGGGGTAGGAGCTCAATTTCTTCCAGTGTCTGCTGCTGCAGTTACACGTGAGGCTGAGTGCCTAGCTCTGCCCCCTCAAGTATGTCAAAGCATTCAGTAGCCAATGAGCAGGGAGTGGGAGTCCACTAATCTATGGAATGTGCCTCTGCAAATTCCCTGTAGTTCATATTTAACTATTTGCGGCACAGTGGGATCATTTATCCAATCAAGCTCTGGATGTTGTGGAGTTCTTGGTCTATTAAGGCAATCCTAATGGGAGAGAATAGCAAACAGCCTATATTTCAGGCAATTTATATGTATTCATTCTTAAATGCACAATTGGCCCAAGTTACTGAATCCATGCGTGTTACTGATGAGTTCTAATATACTGCATTGCCCTCTGTGTGTAGTACAATGCAGTCATAAAGGTGCCATGGTACTACCAAGCCTTCTGGGCATCACCACCTATAAAACATAGGCTGTTCAGTTCTCCAGATAAGTTTTTCATATTAGATTAAATTCATTAAAACATCTAATAAAAAAATAATTTCTATCATTTGGAGAGAAAAAGGTGATTTTTCAGCCAAGGGCATTCTGAATTCTCATTTTGGTGCATCCCTAGTAGATTCACAGTTCATAAGATTAATATCTTGAATTTCCCTAAATAAAGAAAAGGCCTAGCAGACTAAACATAAGCTGGTCAGTTGTCGACTCTTAACAGTGATGCACTATAAACATACATTGAGTATTGTGACTGAATTATTCACCTCTTGACTAAACAGTAGTTTGTGCCTCCTGGAAAACTGAGTTATGACTTGCTTGCCATGCCTATCATAAAGTGGCAATGTCTGATTTTATAAGTAGTTTCCTTTATAGCTTCATGTCAGTAGGCTTTCGTGCCCTGCCGTGCACAGGGCTAATTCCTGATATCAAGGGGCATGTCGGTTATTGTTATGTGACAACTATAACAAGCCGCAACTGTCTGTGCAGAAACATGAAAAAATGTATGGACTATATTTTACTATCAAGTCTGTATCCAGTTTTACTTAAGCCTGCTTAGGGGGTTTGTTAAACATTCAGCGTTAGGATTGCCTGCTTGCACTAAGGCAACTCTGCAGCAGTTTGTTATTGTAGTTTGCGCAAACCACTGACTTTACTGGATTCTAGAGATACTCTTAACAGGGCTGTCATCATAACAGCCATAGCCTTAATCTAGACTTCATATACATCCTGCCAGCAGATAGATTTGCTGATATTGCAAAGTAGTCAACTGCCAAAGATAAAGTATTTGTGCAAACGATGATTTTTTATTTTTTTTGTGCACACATGCACTTAACAAAAATCTCTATGGATAGAAAACAGTGTCGGCGTTGGTCATTAACGAAGAGCTTGAACAATTTTTTTTATTTTTTTTCTTCTATTCATATTGGACGAATGAAATGCTAAGTAGCCTGGATTTTAAACCGATGCTCTATTTGGTTCTCAAAGGTGACTTTTTTACCCTCCCCAGAACTAATTGCACAATAGTCTTATTGGCTGTCGAGCTTCTCCTGTCCAATTTGAGTCATGTCTAAATCAGGCCTTGTCAAACAATGTGTAGAACTCTGCATATAGTGGGAACTGAAAAGATGTGTTCCATTTTAGTAGGCGTCTGTGTATGTTTATGTATCCTAAAGATATTAAGTAAAATATTTCTAAATGCACGTATACTTCATTCTGTTTTAACATACAAAATGTACATGTGATGTAGATTTTAAATGTTCTGGGGGTGTTTTTTTTTGTTTTTTTTTCCATGACAAAATATTTGTATTTTTCTTCATTGGGGTAGTGGAAATCATTGGCATTCATGTGCATTTTAGTTTTTATAGTCTTAACATCTTTATATTTATCATTACATCACATAACATTTTTTCCCTCCTAATCTTACTACACAAAATCATAAATGAGGCTGTCAATTATATCTTAAAGAAACACAATAGTCACTAGAACCAGTGCATCCTAATGTAGTGGTTCTGGTGTCTATTGCATGTCCCTCAAGTGATGGCACTGTAAACACCTCTAGTGAGTCCCTCAGATGTCCACTAGAATGCTTCCTATGTGTGCAGATGTTGAGCATCTCCATGCTCTGCATAATGAGATGCTGAATGCTCTCATTGAAATGCAAATTGGCACAATTTTTTTGCAGCACCTGCACAATAGCAAAATAAGAAAGCATTGGGAGGCTAGGTGAGACCAACTCTGGGCGGGAGAAGAGGCAAGTTTAATCACCTTATTTCTCCACTCTTATGGGTCAATTTCTCATCTATCTCTTGTTCGTGTCAAGTTTTGAAATAACGCAGCTCAGTTTTAACCCCTTCAGTGCCAAGGGAGAGGTGCCCTGAGTGTGGGGGGACCTAAGGATGCTAGTGTCAGGAAAACTAGCTTGTTTTCCTGACACTATAGTGATCCTTTTGAATAGAAAAATCTCTAAAAATAAGCATCTTATTAAGAGATCTGACTTAAAATCAATTAAGCATCCTTTAGGAGCTACTGTTTTAATACAGAACTAGTGCTGAGATCTGTTATCAAACAAATGCTTATTCTTTAGGATGTGTAATCTTGTTATATGGTGTTTTGGTATGTTAAATTGATTTGATTCGGCAATTGGGGTTTGACACAACACAGTTTATGAAGTACTTGTAATGGGATAATTCAATTTCTTCAGCATCGTAGTGAAAATCACTTGGCCTAAAATGTCATGGTGTATGAAATTAAATTAACCTGTACTAGTGCCTCTGTTTCTATTTTAACATATTTGTATTGGTAGTATAATGACGCTAAAGTTGAAGATGTGCATTTCCTCCAGTGACCAGTTGTGGTACAGAATTTTGAGATGTTTAAAGACCGGAATCTGTTCCCTAAACATAAAGCTCTGAGGACAGACCTATAGTGGTAAAATAAAGCTGGGAAGCTATGAAAGCCTGCACATACTTGGTGACTTGTGTTAAACCACATATATTAAAACACATTCTTGTGGGATGGTGCAGCCATCAAGTCTTTGCAAAGGATACCAGTTCCAGTGATTGCTCTGCTACTAAACCTAGTTCCGTTGGATATAGCAGTTTTTGTCTTTTATGTAGAGGTGTTAAATGGTTTACATTTATGTAACGTTTAGATGCATTTGTGCTATATGGCTATTTCCACTGACCTCTGTTCACTTCCTTTCAGGTTTGAGTGGGACAAACTTTTGGAGAATGTGCATTGTTTGATCATCAGTGTGACGAAAACTGACAAGCAGGAAGCTTATGTACTCAGGTATGTTGTGTTTCACATTAAAGACACTGGCTATATACTATTAGCGCATGTTATGTAGTATGTAATGTACAATTATGTTGAGATTCAGTTTTAATCTTCATTAATGATGGCACTTTTTGTAAAGGGAAGTTTCCAATAGTTATTTTGGCCTAATTTTTGCAATTCAACTTACTGAATGCAATCAGTCACATTCCAGCAGCCCGCAGGATCTTCCATCTTGCCAAGTCAGGCATGTGGACTAAAGAGATTCAACCTCTAATGTGCAAGCACTACTCTTAATTTTAAATAAAACTGCTCCATGTTCCTCACAAAGGAAGGCAGCCTACATTATACTGGCCTAACAAAGAATATTACAATTAAATATCAGAAATTCTAAGGATTAGAGCTACCTGTTAGAGGAATTGAAGCCTATAAATGTTTACATTCCGTTTTTCTAGCTAGTATATCATTTTAAAAAAAAAATTCTTATAACTCAGTGACAACAATGTTGGACTTCTTGATTTGTGTTTTGGAATCCTAGAAGCAGGCGATTGCTAGGAAACAGATAGCACATGCATATTGTTTTTATAGATAGTCATATACAATCGGTTAAAGGGAAAATGTCAGTAGCATTGAGTGAGTTTAACTTTTATGCAGTGTGTTAAGGAGGCCCCAGAGAGCTCCTGGAAAGGTCTTCATATCTTCAGCTGCTACAGCGTGGTTATCAAGATGCTCAACCAGCTTCCAGCTACAAGGGCCCAGGGGGAAAAACTCTCGGAAGGGATAAGGGTCCCTTCAAATAGGGATTTTCATTGTGCTCAGTGATGGGCTGAAGTGGTACAGGTAAACTCGCCAAAGCAGCTGGAAAACAAAGTAAAGTGCATGGGGGATGGGATATGGGTAAGATAAAGGGAAACTGCATTTAACACTGATATATTACACATTGAATAAGAATAGTTAACATGATCAGTAGTGGGTTTTTGCGTTTTTATTCTAAATGCATTTTTTAAGTTGGAGGTACCAGCAGTTGTGTATTTTAACTTGGATACATAGTTATTTGAATAAAATTCCCAAAAACTTTTTTTATAATGTGCCAGTTTTTTTTTGTTTTTTTTTATATTGGGGTCCTAACATTCTTACTGACATTATTTTTCTCTACACAGTGAGAGTAGCATGTTTGTCTCCAAGAGACGTTTCATTTTGAAGACATGTGGTACCACCCTCTTACTGCAAGCACTGGTTCCCTTGTTAGAGCTCGCTAGGGAGTACTGCGGTTTTGACGACATTCAGGTACTTTTTTTTTTTACTTTTTTGTGTGTTGGTAATAAGGGTTGGTAAAACTTGGCAAGTTTAAAAAAAACCCTAATCTTTAGCGTGGGGTATCCTTTTAGTCACTGAAAGCAAATTTGACCCTTTAATGCTACCGTAAAGGTGTATTGACTTTTTTTTTTTTTTTTTTCTCCCCTCCCATTCAGAACTTCTTTTATTCACGTAAAAACTTCATGAAACCAGACCATCAAGAGTACCCACACAGAAATTTCCAGGAAGAAGTTGAGTTCCTAAATGAAATTTTCTCAAGTAAGTTGGCACAGTTTTATTTTTATTTTTTCCTTTAAATGTAGGTCTGTCATCCACACCTTGACTTGTGTCCACTTCACGTAGGTACACAAACTTAATGTAGTCTATGCTAATGACCACATGCAGATTAAGATATCCACACATTGAGTTTAGCTTTGCCACTTTTGAGATTGCTACACTGAGAGCAAGAGTGCACTTAATGCTTAGGACAGTCTTATTTTAATTTTTAATATTCTCTAAAGTGTAATCTTTTTCTGTAACCTGTTCATTTTTGCAACCTAGGCTATATCTTATTCTCTAAAGCCATATAGTGTCATCATGAGACAAGGGAGTAAAGGATTTTATATTTGCAAGTCAAGTGATTGTGTCTTCCCCTTGCAGTATCACATTAACCCTGAACATATACATCTAACGGGAATTAATTTTTATTTTTTATTTTTTTTAGATGGGGCAGCTTATTGCATGGGACGCATGAATTCTGATTGCTGGTGAGTTATTCTTTCAGTTTTGTCTTAATTCCACAGTGCCGGTTCTGCAGACCACTGCAGTCTGTCAACAAAATTAATTACTTTACACAAGAAATTAAACTATGAATTGGCAAATGGCCTACGCAGTTCCTGCTTAAACAAACTTAGTCTGTAGACTTCTTGCTATAACTGACACTGAGTGTCATAACTTATCTTAAATGTCCTTTGTTTAACAACGTGTCTGTACAAATCTAATACATGCACAAATGATCTCTATTATAGAGCTGCTTTAATAAGCATAGTGTGGTCTACTTAAAGCTGACTGTGCAAGCTTATGCAATGAGCCAGATGGTCACCTCCTTTGAAAGGGGAGTGGGTGAAGTTATCAGATAACTAGCAGACCTTCTGCAGTATATATGGTGACAGGTGTCTTAACAAACACCTTATACTGTATTGGATTTCCCATTTCTAGGTACTTGTACACCCTTGATGTTCCAGATGGATTTTTAATCAATCAACCAGATCAGACACTGGAAATTCTGATGAGTGAGCTTAACACAGAAGTAATGGACCAGTTCTACATGAAAGATGGTGTTACTGCAAATGATGTCACTCGTGTAAGTTTAAAAATTGCTTCTGTTTGTATAAAATTCTACATACTTAAGTGTAGGATCACTCCTAAATAGTTGGTTTAGCTTTTTAGAACCATAGGTAGAAATGCAACATGTTAACATCTTGGCGTGTTTGTGATTGGTTTTTGGAGGGGGGGTTTATTGGGTTGATTTTCTGATTTTGAGGTATTAACTGTCAGTTCAAAAGAAAAATACATTTTTATTTTTCTCTTTAGGTGAGTGGAATTCGTGACCTGATACCAGGTTCTGTCATTGATGCTACAATGTTCAGTCCTTGTGGCTATTCAATGAATGGGATGAAATCAGATGTAAGTTAAAATTCCACAAATGCTCATAAAACATGTTGTGGTTCATCGATTTAACTCTATATAACAAGTGCCTGAAGATTTGTTGTGGTGACAGGTGGATCCACTTTCCTTTTGAATGGCTTTGTAGAAGGTCTGATCTTATGTTCTGAATGTGTATGGTTAAGCAATACAGTCCTAACTTCCCTATTCATTCAGTCTCCTTGATTTGTAAATATTCATGTATAGATTGCTTTTTATTTTTTTTTTTTTTTAATCTGAATATAGGGTAGGTCTCTTATTTCTCAAACCAAAAGTGCATTTGTACTAAACACTATCCTTTAGCAGTCCTGTATTCCTAGAGCATGGTTGAGGGCACCCATTTTCTACATTAGAATTTGCTGATATTCTGTGCCTTACTTTAATTTGTTTTATGCAGGGAACTTACTGGACAATTCACATCACCCCAGAGCCAGAATTTTCATATGTTAGTTTTGAAACTAACGTATCGCTAACAAGTTATGATGATCTGATTAGTAAAGTCGTGGATGTTTTCAAGCCAAGAAAATTTGTGACAACACTCTTTGTTAATCAGGTACTGTTCATGCTTAAATTTTGGAGTTTGCATAGTGATGCTTGTACTTCAGGGTTTATCTTGACATCCTTTTTGTTTATATTTTCAGAGCTCCAAATGCCGTGCAGCATTTAGCTGTGCACAGAAGATCGAAGGCTTTAAGCGTCTTGACCGCCAGTTTGCTCAGTTCAACGATTACAATTTCGTTTTCACCAGTTTTGCCAAGATAGAGTCGCAGCAAAGTTGATTAGAAAAAATGAAGAAGAAAAAGCGTAAAAAGAAAACCAATGGAAGAGGTGGTGGGTCCTTTCTAGCTAATGATTCCAGGGGCCATGCTTTACACATCCATCACCTAGTAGTTGCAAGAAGCCCTGAGTATAATCCTAGTAAAAGTTTGAATTGTATTCACTATTTTATCAAGGAGTTAGATAACTTGCATGAATGCTCTCTCCTGTGTGTTGGTATTCTATGCCACTCTTGCTGTGAAATTGAAGTGCATGTAGATAATCTAAACACATACTGTAACAAAGTCTTCATTTGTAAAAACGCACCTTGTTCTATGTGCAGCGTTGCTTTTTTATGGGTTTCTCCAAAAATTCCCCACAGACAAGGTTTTCGCCCTCATTAGTGTCAGCCCCGGGACTATAACAAATGGCGAATTGGTTTTGTGAATGAATTGCCAGGTTAATGGAGACTGGTTCTCCACTTTTTACTGGCCATGCATTCTAGGTACTCGTGTGACTTCTTACTGTTATGGTTTTTAACCATTTTGAGTACCTGGGCAGGAGCAGTTTAGCTTTGCTCTACACCAACATTGCCACTCGGTGGTTTGAGTTTAGAAAACCTTGCATCATTTCATCTTGGTCATCTCATTTGTTAGTACTTTTTGCCAAGTATTTGGATTCCTATCTATTCTTTGTCTGGGGATCTGCAAGCCAATGCAGCTTCTGACCTTGAATTGTGGAGGGATACAAGTGACTTGAAGCCTGTGCATGCTTATGTGGGCAATTAAGCAGAATGATCTAGGCCTGTCCTGGCACAAATTGTTACACTGGGAACCATTTCTGATTGTGAGTAAACAATAAACTGTAACACAGTCTGGATCTTGCCTCATTTTTGTTGCATCAAGCAGAATCCATTCCTTTTCATCTTGTCACTAATAGGGAAGCCCTGTGACATTGTGCATGTGACTACTATGCTTTATTTGACAGTGCTGTGTCCTAATCTGCGCTCCCTTGTGAATTAGCGTCATCACAAACTTTTTTTTTTAACCATGAATAGGTAGCATCTTCTATAACATGGAGTTAGACAAATCTGAACTGGAGTAAAGCTACACCTTTTTGGCAAATGTGTTTTTAGGCGTTCTGCTTGTTTTCACCTGGCCTAAAAAAAAATCACATTTGGAGCTCTGAAATGACTTGCAAGCTGTAAATCCCAATGTCTTCAAATTTTTTACTTTTTTGTATCCTTTTTGGATATATTGCAGCAACGTTCCTTTATGTATTTATAAACACTTTTTTTGTAGTGTTGAAGAAAAATCTGCTTGGTTAAATATAAAGGTTGTTGGAGCATTTGTTTTTTTAAAGTATTTTGAGTGGAAGCTTCATTTAAGAAGCTTCCTCTGAACAGTAGGTTGCTTCTGTAGGATAAGTAGTAAATGTCAAGTTTCTGGTGCTGCATTTTGAGGACCAATAATTAATAGTTAATATCTGAACAAATACATGCCCCTCAAGTCTATCTGGTATTCCAGGAATATTGAATACCTTAACATACTGCTGATTTGAGGAGGAGACTAATTCATTGTATTGCTAGGTTGGGGGAGGGAGGGAAATGATTGTCTCTCTAAAATCTTTAGACTTTGATCCATTGAAATGTACTTAAAATATCTGTACCACAGACCTAACGCTTCAATAAAAAAATATGCGTAAATCTTTCTGTTCTCATTTATTTACAGCTACACCACTTTCACTTCCCGGTAAGCGATCCAATTTTCCAACTACCTTTTTTGTGGCTGTTAATCAGTCTTGGTGAATAAGTTAATAATCCGACCATGAGGGAATAGAGGCTTGAGTTAAAATGTGCTAGAAGTCTGTCCGGCGCGATAAGCAATTGACTTTGGTATATTTAAATAGGCAAATGTGTGGGGCCATCTTTATTTTAAACCAAGCATTATTTTTAATCAATTATTAAAGGGACACTGGTCACCAGAACCACTACCGCTTAGTGTAGTGGTTCTGGTGTCTATAGCCTGTCCCTGCAGGCTTTTCAGAGAAGACTGCCAGTAGAGGATTCTTGGTACTGTGCTGCAGTGTGTAGCACCTATGGTACATGTCTCCACGCTCTGCATGAATGTTCCTGTAGAGATGCTTTAATTCAATGCTTATCTGAGGAGATGCTGATTGCTGCACATGTGCAGTAACCTTGCAATTCTTTCCTGTGGGAAAGCACTGGCTTGGTTGACATTATAAAGATTTTTCTATCGTGGAGATGGAGCCAGCCACAGCAAGACCGGCGTGGATTGGGAAAAAGTAGAGTTAAAACGCCTTTCCCAATGCGATCTCAGAGGAACCAGTTATCTAAAGTCACATCACTAACTTTAATTTAAAGGATCACTATAGGGTCAGGAACACACATGTATTTCTGACCCTATAGTGTTAAAACCACTATCTAGCCCCCTGGACCCGTCATGCCTCCATAAATATAGCAAAATCTTACTGTATAAAAGCCTGAAGCTGTAACTCTGCATGCTGTTAGACTCAAACAAGTCTGCTGACATCAGAAGTGGTAGCCTGATCCAATAACAGTGCTTCCCCATAGGATTGGCTGAGACTGACAAGGATGCAGATCGGGGCAGAGCCAGCATGATTCACACAGTCCTGGCCAATCCTCATAGAGATGAATTGAATGAATCTCTGAGGAAAGTTCAGTGTCTGCAGAGGGAGGAGACACTGAATGTTTGGATGTATTTTAGGCAGCCATGACCCAGGAAGGATATCTAACAGCCATCTAAGGAGTGGCCAGTGAAGTTATCACTAGGCTGTAATATAAACACTGCATTGTCTCTGAAAATACAGTGTTTACAGCAAAAAGCCTGAACATAATGACTCCATTCACCAGAACAAATTCAATAAGCTGTAGTTGTTCTGGTGACTAGAGTGTCCTGGTAGAAATGTAACTCAAAATATAAGGAGAGTGCAGACGTTATAAAAAATAACAAATTTATTTTACAAATAGCACTTACAATGTGTCAAAAGACAAACGGCATGTCTCCACATCAGTGGTATCCAGATACTCAGCAGATAAGGTAGCAATCTGGGTCACTCATACGAAATAAAATATTAAGTCTGTGAACAAGTTGAAATCCTACGCGTTTCGTACCATTCTGGACTTCCTCAGGGATGTATAATCTTGATCCGTTTGGTGTTTTTTTTTATATACTGGCATAATTTCAGTGAAAACTTGCGGCAGCTGATAGCATGCATGTGTACATGTCACTTCTGGTAGACGGTATTGTAGCACGCGTGTATCGGAAACACTACATCCTGTTAAAATATCGTGGTAGAATTTTTAGTCATGACCTTATGGTTGGTAAATGTACAAAACCTAGAAATATTGACCTGCTAACCTTCAAAACCTTAAACAAGCAAGGCCCACAGTACCTGAAAGAGCTCCTAACACCTTACATTCCATCCCATTCACTTCAGTTAACCAGCAAATCCATCCTGTCAGTGCCAAGAATAAAGACAACCAGGTTCCAGGGCATTCAGCCACATTGCCCCTACCTTCTGGAACTCTTTACTGTGCGTAATCAGAGAGGCACAGTACTTACAGACTTTAAAAAAAAAAAAAAAGCTAGACACACCTTTCATCAGGCATTCAGTCCACTCAACTGACCTTCAGAAACTCTTATCTTTTTATGTTTGTGTGTGTGTGTATACTTGTAAAGTTCTTTGAGTCTTAAAGGGAGAAAAGAGCTATAAAAATCAAATTATTAAACATTTTTACTATTTCAGTCAATTGGACATTCAGGCACTACTTTTACTTTCTAAGTACCAAAAGAAACTTCATGTTCCCCAAAATAAAGCAAAACCTAGTACATAAAATATCTAATGTTTAAAGCACATCAAGACTTTTTTTTTTTTTTTTTTTTACACAAGCTTCCCACTGTCAAATGCACTTTACCTGGGATAAATATGAGCTACCAGTCTTAACTTTTGCAAGGGACCAAGCATTGGGACATTTTTGTAGTCTAGATCCCGGGGTTAAGAATTGGTGAACTTTATCTTAAAATGAAGGCCTCTTCTTGACCAATCAAAATGAATATGAACACTTAAAATGGGCAGAAGCTCCTGAGCTTTTGCCCATTTTATTTGGTTAGTTACCTGTCCATTCCATATCAGACTGACTCCACCGACAAGTGTTAGACTGAAATGCTGGCAACACCAATTTGCAAACATGATACAGCAACCCTGGTTTGCTATTCATTGTCTTCTATCGAAGAGGTATACTTGAACAAAGTAAAACCAAACTATTTGCTGAGGCCCTTTGAGCAAGGCTTCCAATGTGTTGCCCCAGGAAAATGCTTGATTGAAACATGGATCAACTTTGAAACCTCCTACAGATGTACATAAGATATAGAAATGTATATGCACTCAATAAAATATCAACATGCTTTTTGGGTTATTTACTAAACTCCAGCTATATTGAATTAAATGCAATAAAAAAAGTCTGATCGGTGGAAAAAGACTTGAAATCTTTAACCTATTTTTGCACTGATTTGCCATTGCAACACTTATTGACTGCCAAGCCTGTTTCCCATTATTTTCTATGTGAGGTGATTGGTTTCCAACTTTGCTACTCATTATAAACTGCCACTAATCAAAACAATAAAAACTTAACACCAGACTAGGGGACTGGTGAAAATAGGTTATTGGATAGCAATCTACACACAACTGAAACAGTCCTTGTTCCAAACCTGTTAAAGTAAAATTCCAACCCAGTCAAAAGATATACTGAAACAAGGTATTTCTTGACAGTGGGTGGAGCTACTGCCATCCATAATTGTCAATCCCGCCAATGATGGCTATAGGGACTACGTATGGAGGGTCCCACAGAATCATCCTTAGACCTCTCTGCTGTACTCTTGTGCATGTTCAAGAATATAGTAGTGACCTTGGCTCTTAGCAGATGAAGAGTCAGGAGCAGAAGACTGGTCGGAAAACGATTGCAGCAGATATTAGGGACAGGTTCTGGTAAGTAGAACTCATTGTCTGCCCTGGACTCCGGACGCTTTGCAGCAATATCCATGTTGGGTTTTTGTAAATTATCCAAAGTTCCTAGATGGTGACAGTGCTGTTTTAACAGTCAGCCTCTCTACTGGCCACAAGCATAAAGTACACATCAGGTATTTCAGCACTTTACCAGCAAGCAGCTGTTAGGGCTATAAAAAGGTAGGAGGAAACCTGTGATAATTTGTAGATGTGGAAAGTTGCCAGCTGTTGACCTCTTACAGGATCTAATCTCTAGTCCATGGGTGCCTAAAAGTTAGATCCCATTGTAGAACTACAACTCCATTGCTGCTTTGTGTGCCTTTACAGTGCGTTTAGAATGACAAAGCATCATGGAAGGTGAGTTTTAAAACCTCTGGGGATCTATGTTTTTGGGCACCACTGCTTTAGTCAAACAGCTTTAGAAGAAGGGCTCAACAAATCCACGTTAAAAATGCATAAAGTTGACATAAGATATGACTGTCTCATTATGGATCACTGAATTTTAGCATTGTATTCATCGTTTGACTAGGTGAATACCTAGTTCTGTCACTCTGTACAAGTGATTATAAATTTATACGGTCTGTCACAAAATAACATTTAGGTCAGTTGTGCCAACATACCGTGTGGAGGTAACCCCAGGGTTCATTAAATGAGAAAAATATCAACAGCCTCCTGTTTCTCTGTTAAACTGCTAACATTTGTGGGAAGTTCTGAAACACTAAAGTGGGAATAAAAAAAAAAAGACATTTTAGGCTTAAAATCACAAATTGATAGATCAGATACGGGCATAACGAGACAAATTGCACCATAACTACTATTATAAGCTTAGGGGGTACAGGAGTTCCCCTGTATGTTTAAAATACAGAACCTAAGCAGAAAGCTAGTAAAACCTCAAACTGTTTGAGGTTTTTCATAGAAAAAAAAATCTTTCATTGAAATTCCACCTTATAAATTACATCAAGTTGGGACTACTTTTTCATGTACTTGAATCTAGTAATCATTAATTATTAAATTAACTTTGCCAAAAATGTGGTCACTGGGTGGAGCTTATCGTCCCATGCCATTTCCCTTTAATCATCATTGGTTACAACTGATCGGGGCAGGCATCGTTACTCGGGATCGATGCCTATGTCTACTTGTGCATTTGCAAGAAAATTCTCTCACATTCAAGAGTATAACAGTGTTGTGGACTCCTGGCAGTTGATGCCATTTCCCTTTGGTGAATATGAGACCAGTATAGAGGTTCTGATGAGAAAGAGCAATTGGTAAATATATCTTACTATTCTACGTGGCTGCCAAAATGCCATGGACATTTCAGCTTGGCTCTTCGCAAATAATGAAAAGACCCTATAATTGACAGTACCACATTGATAACAGCAATCACATTACTTATCTAGACCCAGAGAAACTATACATTTACAGGGTTATTTACGAAAGTGAACTTCACATATATGACCAACATAGCCAAACTGGAAGCATAGCTTGCTTAAAGGGACACTATAGTCACCAGAACAACTACAGCTTATTGAACTTGTTCTGGTGAGTAGAATCATTACCTTCAGGCTTTTTGTTGTGAACACTTTTTTTCAGAGAAAAAGCAGTGCTTACATTACAGCCTAGTGATAACTTCCACTCCTCAGATGGCTGTTCGATATCCTTCCTGGGTTATGGCTGACTAAAATGCATCCAAACATTTAGTTTCTCCTTCCTCTGCATGCAGACACTGAAATTTCCTCATAGAGACTCATTGATTCAATTTATCTCTATGAGGAGATGCTGATTGGCCAGGGCTGTGTTTGAATAATGCTGATCTGCATCTTTGTCAGTCTCAGCCATTCCTATGCTGTGGGGAAGCACTGTGATTGGATCAGGCCACCACTTCTGATGATGTCAGCAGACTGCTTGTTTTTTTGGAGGCAATCAGCATGCAGATCTACAGCTTCTGGCTTGAATACAGTAAGATGTTACTATATTTATGGAGGCAGGAGGAGCCCAGGGGGGCTAAATGGTGGTTTTAACACTATAGGGTCAGGAATACATGTTTGTGTTCCTGACCCTATAGTGATCCTTTAAATAATTTTTTCCTGTTTGGCTATTTTGTCCTTAAAGGACCACTCTAGGCACCCAGACCACTTCAGCTTAATGAAGTGGTCTGGGTGCCAGGTCCAGCTAGTGTTAACCCATTTTTTCATAAACATAGCAGTTTCAGAGAAACTGCTATGTTTATGAATGGGTTAAGCCTTCCCCTGTTTCCTCTAGCGGCTGTCTCATTGACAGCCGCTAGAGGCGCTTGCGTGCTTCTCACTGTGATTTTCATAGTGAGAGCATGCCAGCGTCCATAGGAAAGCATTATGAATGCTTTCCTATGTGAACGGCTGAATGTGCGCGCAGCTCTTGGCGCACGTGCGCCTTCAGCCGACGGGGAGGAGAAGAGGAGGATCGGAGGAGGAGAGCTCCCCGCCCAACGCTGGAAAAAGGTAAGTTTTTACCCCCTTCCAGAGCCGGGTACGAGTATGTTTTCCTGGCACTATAGTGGTCCTTTAAGCTTAGAAATTACTTTATATTTTAATTTTAGTGAATATATATCTGTTAGAATTCAATCACGTGCTCTTGTCAGAAGCGGCTCAGGTGGGAAAACCTGCATGATCATTACCTAATTTTTTTGCAACAGAGATAAGATACTATCTACTAGCAGACACTGCTATGCTATGTGCCTACAAATGACAAGATTCTCCTTAGAGACGTAATTATTGTAATACCTGCAGGATATATCCATTCAAATATGTGTGCTGACATTGTAGAATAATTATAACCCATGTGTATTTAAGGACACATCTTGAGAAGTAAAAGGCCAGCATGATGAAGATTTTCCATTGTGTCCTTAATGGGTTAACTAGATAACATCTGTAACTGCTTTTCTGCTGAATTTCTTCAGCGCTTGTGTTATTTGGATGCTTAAGAGATTTCAGCACTCTTTTCTGTACAAATTAGCTTTTTTCCCCCAGCAGGCTTTGCTCTATAAATATATCTATTTTGGCATTCAATTAAGGAAGCTGTATCAACCTGGTCCCTACCGCCCACTAGTGGGCAGTTTGGGATTTCAGGTGGGCGGTAGCGGGTTCTGCAGAAAACGGTGGGCCTCGGTGGATGTGGTCCAAGCCCGGCAGGGGATATCCTTTCATCTCCCCTGCCGACCCTTGCAGAGCCAGCCTTGCTATAAGCCCTCTCGGGCTGTTGAGGAGATCAAAGATCTCCCTCACTGGCCAGCTGGCACTTCCTTCCAGCAGAGGGAGGGAAGGGTCTGGGAGGTTCCGTGTTTCTCCTGCAAGCAGACTGGTCAGAGTGTGGCAACGCTCTGATACAGTGCTATGCCCCCTCACACACCTTGCACCCCTCACACACATCACCTCCAACACAAACAGTGCACCCCTCATACACACACACACACTCACAGTGCACCTCTCAAGCACACACACTGCACCACTCACACACACTGCACCACTCACACACACACTACCATTTGTAACCGTGGCTGGTTCCCTTATTTACCACTATAATGTCTTAAAGCATAGAACTTAGTAGGGCTAACCATACAGATATCTTAGCCATAATTTTATATAGTTAGTAAGAGATTTAACATACCGTATATACTCGAGTATAAGCCGAGTTTTTCAGCACATTTTTTGTGCTGAAAAACCCCAACACGGCTTATACTCGAGTCAGTCTGTATTATGGCAAGACTGGGGGCTGGCAGAGCTGTTACTTACCTCTCCTGCAGCTCCTGTCCACTCTCTCCTCCTCCGCGCAGGTCCGGTCAGCACCTCGGTCAGCTCCCAGTGTAAGTCTCGCAAGAGCCGCGGGGTCATAGTGCGGCTCTCGCGAGACTTACAGTGTGAGCTGAGAGAGGAGCTGCACGGACCGGCGCGGAGGAGGAGAGAGTGGACAGGAGCTGCAGGAGAGGTAAGTAACAGCTCTGCCAGCCCCCCTCATCCCCCCACTGAACTGCCAATGCCACTGGACCACCAGGGAAGGAGAGCCCCCCTCCCTGCCATGTATCAAGCAGGGAGGGGGGACAACAAAATAAATAAAATATAAAAATAATAATAACAAAATAATATAACAAAAAATAATTAAAATAATATTAATTTTTTTTTTTATAAAAATGCCCACCCCCCACCAAGGCTCTGCAACACAAACACACACACACACTGCATCACACACACACATCATGCACTCATACACACACACCATGCACTCATACACACACACTGCACTCATACACACACTGCATTCATACACACACACACTGCATTCATACACACACAGTGCATTCATACACACACACTGCATTCATACACACACCCTGCACTCATACACACACTGCATTCATACACACACACTGCATTCATACACACACTGCATTCATACACACACACTGCATTCATACACACCCTGCATTCATACACACACACTGCACTCATACACACACTGCATTCATACACACACCCTGCATTCATACACACACTGCATTCATACACACACACTGCATTCATCATATACACACACTGTAAATATTCAATTAATATAATTTTTTTAGGATCTAATTTTATTTAGAAATTTACCAGTAGCTGCTGCATTTCCCACCCTAGTCTTATACTCGAGTCAATAAGTTTTCCCAGTTTTTTGGGGTAAAATTAGGGGCCTCGGCTTATATTCGGGTCGGCTTATACTCGAGTATATACGGTATATAAATAATTGAGAATACAATATAAAATAAGGATTGTCTTGGAAGCAATAGTTTTGTCTTTTTGGATATTTATTATATAAAAATATAAATATAAAATCCATTATAGCAGAGTTTATAAGATGAAATTACATGCTTGCAAACATCATTAATAGGTTAACATACCCTTCTGAACATGTCATCATGTCAGCCTCTCTGTCATTTTAAGATGGAGCAGCGTCTGTCTCCAAGTCTCTCCTCTGTGTCTTAACATTTAAAAGTACACCTATTTATACCTTAGGTGTCTCCATTTTAGGGTTACCGTAGTTCATTTACTTTATTCATTTTAGGACCTCCCTTAATCTGGCAAACATACA